TTTTTAAGAAATTAATTTTTTAAAATATTCTTATTTTTTTTATTTTTTAATGTCAAACATTTAAATTAGTATTTTCTCTTCTCTCTCTCTTTTTTTTTTTTTATACATTTCTTCTCTCATTTCATTTTTCATATGTATCCTCACACTTTCCTCTATTTTTATCTATTTCAATAAATAGTTTTAATTATTTTAGTTTTCATATTCTTCTCTTTTAGTTTTCACATTATTCTCTCCTCTTTTTTTTCAATTTTCACACGGTTGCAAAATTGGTGTGATAGTGTTGTAAGTACATATAATTTCCTTGACAATATTGAAAGAGTGGGGTTAAAACACACATTTTTCCAAGTACTTCCTCAACTTTCACACGCACCTCTTCCTTTTCCTTCCTCAATATTCATCTATTCTGGTTGATCTTAACTTATGTTGTGGGCATATACCCCTCAAAACCACAAAATTAAATTTAGTATTTCAGGAAATACTTTCTAAAACATCAATTTTAATATTTCAAAAAGTACTTTCTAAAATGAAAAAATTAATGTTTCAAAAAGTATTTTATGAAATTATATTTTTTTTACGTACTTTCATAAATTATTTTCTGAAATATTAAAATTACTATTTTGAAAAGAATATTTTGAAATCATGTAAAAAAAATACTTTTAAAAATTATTTTTTTAGAATATTAATTTTACTATTCTTAAAAAAAACTTTCCGAAATATTAAAAACAAACTTTTAGAAATAAAAAAAAAATCAGCAGAATACCTATATACTCTCTCATCCACTAAATATGTTACTGACGCACGTAACTCGCAAAAAAAGTTCAGCAAATTATTTCTGCCGATTGTGCATATAATATTAAATTACAAATGCACTATAAATAAAAATATAAATTAACACGTTAATTCGTTGGTTGCATTTGAATGTAAGAATAATGAAGATTGAATGAAAAATTAAAGTTTAAAGAAGAAAATGATGAAAAGGAGTGAGAAGAATAATTTTAATTTTAAAAGAGTGTTTTAAATAAGAAATATAATTATAAAAAATAGGAGTTCGATGTATCTGTTGGGGAGCCTTTTACATCGGGGAGCACTTTATATAATAGGTAGTGAGTAAGTCACACAAGTGAACTTGACATCACAACATATTCTAAAACCTTAAGGCATTAGGTAGGTGGATCTTTCTCACTTATATATTACTCAACATGCCTAACTCTAATCAATATGGGACTTTACTTCACACTTGAACTCCAACACTCCCCCTCAAGTGTGAATCCCTTCCATATTGTCATGTTCCCCCTCAAGCGGAAGTTTGTTTTTTTTTTTTTTTTTCATCCACGAGTATTCGATGGTAGCCTTACTTGCACTGCCGTTGCACTTCAACGACACACGTCCTCCACACGTCTAGGGAGATTTTCAGTACAAGGGATGATCCTACTCTTGGATCTCCTACCAATTCCATTTAAGTTCCTACTCTTAGATACAAGTGAGTTTGACACCACAACATATCCTAAAACTTTAAGGCATTAGGTAGGTGGGTCTTTCTCACTTATGTATTACTCAACATGCCCAATTCTAACTAATGTGAGACTTTACTTCACACTTAAACTCTAATAGTATCATGAGCTAAATTATATCTCATGATCGTTAGTTTCTCATAAAAGTTTATGTATATTTTTGTTTTCATTAAATTTATAAGCCAAGGTCTTAGTTGGTTCTCGGATAGTAACCGTACTAGGTAGTCCTGTACATGAAGTGTATAAAGCAAGGGCTTTAGAAGCTTTTAGAGATGTAAAATGTTAAATTCAGGACAATATATCCGTTTGTTGGTTTTCACAGGCAAAATATATTTGCTAATATATGCCAGGGTAGAAGATTTAAATAGTTTATCGTAATATTAAAATATAATTTATATATTTAAAGACAATTTAATTAATTATTTTAAATTTTGATTATATAAAATCAAACACGTCTACTCCTTATTTTTATCTTTTATTTTCTTTTAAGATAACAAGGATGTGAATTTTTATTTTAATAATAATCATTCAAATATGATTCAATATTTACAAAAATATCTAATAAATTATGATTTAATATAGAGTATATATATATATATATATTTACAGTTTTTATTTTGTTACGTTAACCCCTTTATATATTGTTACCTAATCAAATGGTTTGTGATATAAACTAGCTCTAGCTATTCGAAATATGGAAATTTTTACATGATCCTTTAGTCGCATTTTCACTTAATAAGTCTTTTCGTCATTATATAGTATACTAAATAAAATAAAAACTCATTTAGATATACCATGAAATCTATAAGGCAAAATGAAAATTAAAAGCAATAATATTATTAATATTATTGATTTTAATTTGTAAAATTCAACCTCTCAGCTGCTTTTCTCCCCTCTTTATTTTCTCAAATATGTTATAATTAATCCATAGACACTATTGCAAGGAAAAAAGTTAAATATATATTCATTTTATATAACTAAATTTATAATAAAAAATTATTTTTAATATATAATTCATATTAAATTAAAATTTGTAATAAATAATTTATACTACGATATGAAAACATTTTAACTATTGCTATTTTTAAAAATATATATTTAAATTTAATTTTAGAAAATAAAATGATAAATTTAAAAAATTGAAAAACCCCTAAAAGTACTTTCCTTATTTAATAGTCATTAAAATCACTCACGGTAAAGAAAACTTTCTAAAAAGTATTGTTGTTCAACAAAATCATTCTAATCTATATAGAACAATTAGATCTTTCTCTTAAATTTTAATCACATCATATATTATTATTATTATTATTATTATTATTATTATTATTTCAATTCTCTTCGCATTTTTCATATTATTTCCCATATACCCAATGTAAATTTATCAGTGATGTGACATTTAGTCAAAGTCGCACTACCAGGTTTTGCAATTAGTTGTCGCTAATTAAAAACTGGCTAGTCATTGTTTTCCTCAAAAAAGGTTTGCCTATGTGTCTTTCTCACATGCTCCCCAACATGACTTCGTTTGATTTGGTTTCCGTTCTATTTGTTAACGTAACGAATAAAATAGGATATGCATGCTATCTCCAAACTTTATAAAATTATCAAAGAAATGTTACCAATAAAATATGAACACTTGAAAAGTTATCTTTGGTTTTTGACAAAAAAGAAGGGAAGACTGTGGAACTTATCATTGAGTTTATGACTCAAATTGGTTGCACATGGGTTCAGCAATGATATTCCTTAAACACGTCCCTATTATTATATATATATAAATAAAATGTCATATAAGTTAGAATTGGACAATAATATAATAATATGCTTGAATTTCATTCACCTCCTAAGCATATCATTCCAATTATAGGCCATCGTTAACCATATTCTAAAATTTATCAGGTTAAAGACTACAGGCTTCAGATTGGAATATATAAATAAAATGTAGTTCACGTACCAAGATAACAAAAGATAGTTAAGATGAAAGAATGTTAAATAATTTAGCAAATTATTTTGTAACTGACATGCCCTAGAATAAAACAAGAAAAGGTAAAAATAAATGTGATATATCTAACGGAATTTCATATAAGGAATTGCATTAAAAGAGATCAAATAGTTTCATTGCACTAATGATGACAAGTTTTTTAACAGATGACATCATTAATTATTTGAGTAAAAATTTTCATTATGATTGGAATAAAAGTTGTCAGTTTACAATATAATAAAAAATTAAATCATAACCGAAACATATATATGAATACCCGCAATAAAGGAAAAAAGTTAAAGGTGTGCAACAAAAATATATATGTGGAAAAATATAAGAGTAGATGTTCATGAATAGTTAATTATATCTAATTCCGTGAACAAATTAAATTCATTTTGATTTTTCTTGAACAAAAAATGATTTCCCTTAAACAAAAGATGAGATTTTTTGTTAAATATGAAATCATTTGAGCAGGAGGGAAAGCATGTTGCATAAGCATGCAGCCAAATGTAGAATGAGTAGCTATATGATCATAGCACCCACATAATTACTAATGATAAATCTAAGTAGTTTATTCGAAAAGATCTTCCTTACCTTCGATGCACTTCGAATGGGACCTAAAAATCATCAAAAAGGACATGAAACTCCTCCCACCTGCAGTGATCATTAGAAATGTGCAACTCATATGACTTATTTTGTTTCCCCGGTTTATGCTGAGAAAATTAATGAGGAAGACCTACAAATAAAATAATATAAATATACTTTATATTTTTTTGTTGTTGTACAAATTATATTATGACCCTGAACATATATCATATTAGATTGTGTGAAGTCTCTAATATGATTAGTTTCTTGTTCATGTACAATCTCATGATTTGATAGAAAGGTCACATGCAGCAACTTTGGACTATCCGAAGGGAGTCATTGGACTATATATATTAAAACTAAACTTTGGCCAAATTCAAAACAAAGCAACACAACTAATTTAATTGGGGAATAATCATGAAATGGGGTATCTGTGAGAACATGCTCATCATGGGTGATTTAGATTTCTAATTATATCACCCACTAATTATATAATTCTCTTCAATCATGCCCTCGTCCTCCTTCCATCATTTGAAACTCATTTGTAACAGAGTTTTGTAGTATATGCCAGGACCAGGACCCGTTGAGAGCAAGTGATGGATTTGTTGCCCTTTGCACCATTTCATTACTACCTTATTATTATTATTAAGTTTTTTTTATCCTATATATCTGGTTGATTAGATTTCTCATAGTTGTGACATAATATAGCATCAAATCCACCATAGAGGAGCTTTTACATGAGTGGATAAAGCTTCCAACAAAGACCAAAAAAACAAACAAAAAATTAAAAAGGGCACGTGTTGGAACTTATTCATAAGAAGGAGGGTATATATGTAAAATAAGATGCTAAGGGTTTTGGAGAGCCATGCCTTTCTTATTTAAACCATGACTCACTTGTTGATTCCACACACCAAAACAAACTAAAACAAAAGGAGAAAGAAACATCAAGAGTAGTCACTGAAAAGTGAAAACTAATACCAACCTTGCATGCCAAGTCCCAACTTCATTTTTCTCCATTGTTAATTCCCCTTCCATATACCCACATCCCTCTCTATCTTCACTTTCATTCACGTCCAAAACTTGAACATGAATCCCTACACATCATCACCATCGTCCTCCAAATCCAAGAAGAAGCAAACGACAACGCAACAAGATCAGCAGCAACACGAAACGGCATGGGGAGGGAGGTACCTCGGCGTGAGGAGGAGGCCGTGGGGAAGGTACGCGGCAGAAATCCGTGACCCTTCCACCAAGGAAAGACATTGGTTGGGCACGTTTGACACGGCAGAAGAAGCCGCCCTGGCATACGACAGGGCGGCTCGCTCCATGCGTGGATCACGTGCCCGAACCAACTTCGTCTACCCGGATACCCCGCCGGGTTCCTCGGTCACCTCCATTATCTCACCGGACGAACAAACCCAAACCCAAATCCAAATCCAAATCCATCAAGCCCAAGAAGAGCTCTCCTCTCTATTTGCCCCGAACCCGTTTCCACAACCCGACCCGACCCCACCATTTTCCTTGGGCGGGTACCCGGGGATCACGAACGCGAACACTCCTACATTTTCTGCCACCGAAGTTGCGTCATCCGGTGGCTATAGCTATAGTTATGGTTATAATGAAGGAGTAACCAACGTGGATGGTTCACATTTTAAGCTCTTTGATGACGGTGAAACGCAGCTTCCTCCTTTGCCACCGGATATCACAAGCTCCATGGGCTATGAAATGGGTCACGGGTTTTACGGAGATGGAGTCGGGTTTTCGGATCCAAGTTTTAATGTGGATGCTTCCGGGCCGGGTTACCCGTATTCGGGTTTTGAATCGGGTGATTACGTGGTGCATAGTCCACTCTTTGGCGCAATGCCACCAGTCTCGGATAATGTGGCAACGGGTCATGAAGGTTTTGATTTGGGTAGCTCTTCGTATTTCTTCTGAAATTAGAGTGAGAGTTAAAACTTCTTCGAAAATATTTTTACGGGAGAAAAATATAAAAATATAAAATAAAATAGTTTTTAATAAGTTAAAATTTACTTATGCATAAATTTTTAAATTTTATTTTTGATTTATGCATAAGTTAATTTTAATTTATTAAAAAAGATATTTTAATTTTATGTTTTATTTTTCTTCCTTAAAAATACTTCGAGAAATTTATTATATATATAAAAAAGAACCCTTTTCTAAGGGCATTGCGAATTTGAAATTTTGCATGCATGCATGCAAAATTTATTTCGTGGTTTGTATGTTTTGTGAGTGTGGGACTTTGTTTGTAGTTAGTACATATTGCGGTGAGTGTTGTGTCGCGAGAAAGGGGGCATATTTTGGTGTACTTGGGCTGGGCTTTGTGGAGTAGAGGCTTGTAATGGGCCCTCTCTTACGGGGCTTTTGCTTTGCTATGTTGATTTCCTTTTCGTAACAATTGGGTCTATTTGGATTATTTGCAACCATGCCTCACTTGTTGCTTACAAAAATTCCAGTACACTGTCGATGGTCGAAATAGACACGAGCTTGATAAGAAAAATAAAATAAAAATAAAAACAAAGACAAGTATTTTAGAGAAAAAATTGACAAAAATTACGTCCGCATCAAGACGAACATTCAGTTACTATTTCAGAAGAAAAAAAAATTGAGTTGAGAATTTGTAATAACTGTGTTTTCTAATTTGTGATTGACGTGATCCAAAATAGTTACAAGAAAAAAATTAAAGTTTTATTTTCTAAAAAAATAATTGAATTATGAGAAATACTAGCAATATACTTTTAAATACTCTCTCCAATAATTAACTTGGGTTGACATGATTAATGACAAACTCGATCTCTTAATCTCTTAGTCAATTGGTCCGATTCAAACGGAAAAGAAATGTTCATGTACTAGTGTATTTGGAGGGGTAGAGTGAATGTATTAGACAAATAGTAGTGCATGATATATTTAATAATCATTTACAAATTAAAATAAAAATAGATTATTTTAAATAAAAATAAATTATCCAATGGTATGTTTAATAATCATTTATAAATTTAAATAAAAAATAAATTATCCCCCACTCCTACCTTAGATCTTGTTGGTTGATCCATGTGATGCAGGGAGTTGACTCTTGCAAGGTGTTAACCAACTACTAAATAATTGCGATATAGTTGACCCTTGTAAAATCATTCTTTGCAAGTGTGTTGGCCACTAATAAATAATTTAAAATCTATGCAAAATCAACATGTATAATTTTGTGGAACAAATGAATAAAAAATGATTACCCTTTCAACTCCATAAAATAATAATTATTTTTTATTTTCTTATATTTGAAGATTGAGATAGTAACAAATATTTTATGGTTTTATTCCCTAATCATTTCGAAGAAAAAATAGGTCTAAGGTTAAAATGATTCATTCTCAACTAGGGATGTCTATCACTAACAAATATTTTTATAATTAATAAAAAATAATTGAATTTAACATGTATAATAACATAAAAGAGAGAGAAATGAAATAAGATGTCTAATGGTGGAAATAGGTTATTGGAAATTTCACAATTAATAACAAAAATATTATAATTTAGATGTGCATTTCTTATAATCATTATAAATTGAATTTAAACTTGAATTTGAATTTCCAAAATTAGAAGACTATTTTATTTCAAATAAATAGTAAAAATTATTTGTGTGTTTAATATAAGATAATTAAATAAATTACATTTTGATAAATATGTTTTATTTTTTTATAGAATAAATATATTTTATTATTAATATGAAATGTTTGAATTTAACATGTATAATAACATAAAAAAAAGGGAGAAAAAGAAATTGGAAACTAGCTTTGATTTAGTAATATTAAGATTAAAATAAGATGTGAAAAGGTGGAAGTAGATTGTTTGCAAATTCACAATTAATGAGAAAAATATTACAATTTAGATGCAAATTTTATAGTAAAAGTAAAATGAATTTGAATTTGAATGTCCATAATTAGAACAATAATATATTACAAATATTTAATAAATATTATTAGTGTTTAATTAGTGTAATAAAATAAATTAAATGTTAATAATTTTTTATAATTAATAGAAAATGTTTGAATTTAACATATATAATAACATAAAAAGAGAGAGAAAATTGGAGACTATTTGGATATATTAAGATTAAGATAAGATGTCAAAAGGTTGAGATATATCAGTAATTTTACAATTAATAAAAAAAATACTATAACTTAGATGCACATTACTTATAGTCAAAATAAATTAAAATTGAATTTGAATGTCCATAATCAGAAGACCATTATATTGCAAATAATCAATGAAGATTATTTGTATGTGAAATTAGCATATTTAGATATATTAAATGATAATAAATATGTTTTATAATTAATAGAAATTGTTTGAATTTAACATGTATATTAACATTGTAATGATTTGATAGGTCACTACAGTTACTACAATACAACAACTAAGCAGCAGAAAACATAATTAACCTCTAACTTAGGGTTATTATGCAAGCAACTATAAGAGCATGGCATGACATCCTACTCATTCTTCAGCCTAATCTTGCCTGCTCTCATAACAAATATGATCATCATAGTCTAACAACATGAAAAAATAAGGGTAAGCTTGTGAAAGAAACATCATATCATCAAATTAATAATTAACAACTTCAAGAAACACATGCAACATTAGCAACATGTTAGCTTTTCAACTTAAAAACATATAAAAAAAACTTTAATAATATTCACAGCTTAACAATATAAATTAATAGAAAACCTGGTCAACTTAATGCAACTAAGTAACATAAACAACTTAAAGATCATGATGGCAAATTAGAAGGGAAAATCATTGCCCTAATTTTAGTCTTAAGTGAATAAGGATGACAGGATGATTTTCTTATTCAATCTTGAAGGATGGAATCCAAGGATGAAATAGAAAGGAGACTATTCCTATAATAAGAGACACACCTTGTTAATCACTTAATTATTACAGTCTTAACTTCCAACCGAGGTCTTCACCTTCTGCTCTAAGTAGCCCGAGGTGGAGGGTGCTTGCAAAAGACAATTCGACGCTCAAGTCAATAAGGGATCGACATATTAAATGCGATAGTTGAGTTGAATTACATACCTTGTTGGAGGTTTATTTATACTAGTTGTAGTTGGGTCGTGATTAGGGGAATGGGCCTTGGAAAATTAGGGGCAAAACTGGTGCATTAAGGGATTAGAGTGTCCTTGGTAAGCATGTTGTGAAGGTCGACCTGGTCGACAATGTCGACCATCCCGACATTAAGTTACTTAGCCGACCATCCCAAGCCTTTCATGCCAGCCAAGCAGACATTAAGTTACTTAGACGAACATCCCAAGAATTTTTTACTCACCAGGATGACATTAAGTTACTTAGTCGACCATCCTGAGCATTTTATAATGGAGTCAATTATGTGTGGGAATTAAGGGGTTCTCTGGTATACAACTCCTCAATGTCGAGGATAACGAGACGAAGATGGTACTATCACTTCCACTTATTCAAGAAGGCTAGGTTAGATTACATTGTGTGATCACTAGGGTTGGTATTCCAAAAGTGATAAGTCAATCACATCGATGGTTCTGTCTTGAGAGTCATATTGACTGATTAGGGAGTGGGGTTTCCCTCGTCTGCATAGCCCAAAGAGGCACGATGTTTTGCCCATCATGGTTAGTTATTACTGAGACAACGTGTTAGGTTGCATGTGGTGGTTATGCCTTGCTTTTTAGGAGCGATTGAGAGTTCAATGGTCGCGAGATCTGGGCCATTAGATGATTGGGATCCAACGGTTGCAAAGTTGAGGTGTCTTTTCACCTTTTCTTTTCACCTCACCTATAAATAGGCTTACCAATACTTAAAATTTAACGCATTGTAAAATCTTTGAGCACTAGGTTTTAATTGAGAGCAGCTGAGTCAACCAATCAAGGTGAGCATTTGAAAACTTCTCATCTAGTTTAAGATGGGAGACAATTACTCCTCGGCAAAGAGTTGGACATCATCGAACGTGTCAAGGTCGGCTCGGGGAATAGGGATGGTTACGCTTTGGATAATGGATCCATCCTGCCCTCATTACAGTGTGAGATGGTTTTTGGTTTGGATCGTCTTGAGGTGTCGAGCCCTTCAAATTTGGACAAGGTAGTGGAGATACCTCCACATGTAGTTAAGGAGGTCTGTTCAGGTAGTGTGTTAATCGAGATGACAATGCAAACGAAGCCGAGGATGAACATGCGATCAGATGTGATCGAGAGAGGATCGATTATGGGACCGTGGGGATGGTTGGTTATGAATGGGTGGATGGGGAGGTCGAAGCTTACTTTTCCTCTTTCTCGGACCAAGGTTTGTTAGATAAATTTGTGAAGTGTGAGAAATGTTTCGGAAAGGGTGTGAATGGGAAATGCCATTAATTACTTAAGTGTGTCAAGATGAGGGTTCGGACACCGACTTCGTATATCCTGGATGTGGATCCGAGGAGAGAGACTTCTTTTATGCCTACATGTGTTGGTTTTGGGATTTGGGGGTGACACTACCATTGGATGATTTTTAGATGGATGTGCTATTGGTGTTAAATGTGGCACTAAACCAGTTACATCCAAATTTTTGGGCAAGGAAGCAAGCTTTTCAAAATTTGTGCCTTTGCCTAGATATCATTCCTCGGCCCCTATCGTTCCTATATTATTACATTTGTCCTCCCAATAGGCTGACCAAGTGGGTTTTTTTCACTAGGTGCCGAAACAAGGATTTTTGAGGGCATTCACAACCTTGTATAAAGGGTTTAAGAGTGGTTTTTTTAAAGTGCGTTGTGGGCTGGTGATGCGGGACTACTTTTATGATCGAGACGGGGGTAGGTTGTTAAGTCAGACAAAGACGAAAGCAATTCTCAACAAGGTTTTGAATGAGACAAATATAATACATATTGTTACTACTAACAATTGTGTTAGTGTTTCAGATATAAGTACTGATAGAAGACCATCCTTGGAGCTTCATGTGG